CAATCGACATCGCCATCGGGCTCGGCTGAGCCCCCTTCAAGAAATCATGGGCTTTCTTCCTAAAGCTGTCATTCTGGGCCGCCCAAGCAGCCCTGTCGAACTCCAGAGGCATCTCTCGTGGTTCCAAATGCCCCACCGCAACTGGATTCAAAACCTGAACATCGGCATCTGCAGCTGGCCCGATGCCTTCCGAAGGGTGCTCGGCAGCACCTGAAGACGCACTCTTCCTGGTGCGCTCACAGAACATCATATAGGCAGGCACCAGCAAGTTATGAACCAACATTGGGAATGCAACGTCGCACACGGCCTCCTCGCACCCACCATGTTTCTTCCTAAGCAGAAGCCACCACCGCCGACCCGCAAGAGCCTTGACTACGCCATCTGCCACGCGCCGCCTAAGAGGGTCCTCCTCGAAAACAATCCCTGGCGGCGCCCAGTGAGTGATCTCTGACTCACCCAACCAGTCACCATTACACAACATCTCAACACGAACGCGCTGTATTGTAGTGTTGGCACCTTTCACAATAAAATATTTCATAATAAACTTACGCCGCTCAATGCAGTGTTCATCAAGGGCACCCACTCGAACCCTGACACGATCAAACGCAACGTGCCACAGACAAATCCGAAACTCCTTAAGTGCAGTGCTTGAGAAGATACTCCTAGCTATGTTTATGATACCCGTTGTTACATCACCCAGGGAATTCAACGCAGCGAGCCTCGCGCAACCCATTTTGCGCTGGCCAGACACGTGCTGTCCGCCTCTCCTATCACAGCCGCCATCGTTTCAGGCGTGTTGCGAAACAAACAACCGAGATGCGACACCGCGCTGCCAATCAGCATGGTCAACCGAGACTCCCCTGACACCTCAGCCCTAAGAAGATACCCCACCTCTGTTCATACTGCAGAAGTTTGGTTGATATACTTGCTTGGTCACTGGGCAGACAACGTTCGAAGCTTTCCGCGGCCTGTCTAGGGCCGCGGGATCCATCCAAGACGACCTCCAGTGTCGAATCCACTTGGCGCAACGTGAGCGGCGTTTCATCATATGATTTATCATCAACGAAGGCCAAACACCGAATCCGACGGTCGCCAATGATGGCATAAGAAATGGCAGTCCTAAGGGCACGGTCAACAAGCCACGCTAAAGCATGATGAACCCTCGAATGCGCATCCAACGTGCGCCGAGGAACGCCCAAATGGAAGGACTGCACATCCCTCGAAGAATAGACCAAACGTCTGGCATCGCCCCTCAAATAATCTGATACAGCATTCTGGCCAGCGGGCGCGGTGGAATGACGCGCAGCATGAAGAAGAGAGAACACATGCTCAGCAAGGGGACGGATCAGTCCATATTCTGGAACGTCCACCAGCGCCCTCGACACACGAGGGGGAACATAAAAACAATCACCGACACGGTCCGATTCAGCGCGGGCCTCCCGCGCACGTGCCCTCTTGACCTCAAGGGCCGCCCTCGCAGCGACGAGATCCCCGCCGCGCTTGCGTGGCACGATGGCCCCTGGAGGGCCGCCTCCGCTCATTGTCGAGACAACGCGCGACGGGTGCAATCTGGACCGACACGCTACGGATAGGCGGCCGCGCGATAATCTTCGCACCATCACCCTCACGATCACGCGATTATCTTCACACTTCTAACTGTGGCGGTACTGTTTCGTATGTTGTGGGGGGCGGGCGGGAATGAACATGCCATGTTTACCTCGCTAGAGCTGACTAGCGACAAGCTTGACTCCCACTCCTACTTCTCTTCCTCCTCCTCCTCCGCCCCCCCCCCTCCTGCTCCTCCACCTCCACCTCCCCGCTCCTCGTCCTGCATCCTTCTCCTCCTGGTCCTGCTCCTCCTACCCCTCTTCCCCCCCCCCCTTCCCCCTCCTCCTCCTCCTACCCGCTAGGAACAGCAGACCATTTAAATCATTTTATGTCATCATAAGAGTGACTTCCTGGGGGGGGGGGGGCTTTTCTGGGGAGCGGGAAGTACCTCCCAGAAGGCCGCGATTCTCCCAGAAGGTCACCCCCACATAAAGCTTCTGTGGGGGGTTGACCTTCTGGGAGCGGCCCCTAATCCTACACCTACGCTGCGGCCCCTAATCCTAAGCCTACGCTGCGGGAGCGGGCGCGGCGCCTAATCCCACACCTACGCTGCGGCCCCTAATCCTGCAACCTACGCCCTACACCTACGCTGCGGCCCCTAATCCTACGCTACGCCCTACACCTACGCTACGACCTACAACCTACGCCCTACACCTACGCTGCGCTACGTGCATATGCTTGTACTGCGACTGCAACGGTAGCGCACAGCCCGACTATTTTTTGTCGTTGGGGTATTTCTGGACTATTCTAACATAGCGTTTACAAAATGAGGGAATAGTATTTTTAGACTATTTAAATTGATTTAATTGGTTTGCTGTTCCTAGCGGATGTTGTCATTGCAAACCTAACACGCCCAAGTGGCTCAGCGGCAAGCGCAAGAGCGCCCCACATCGCACTGGCACATATGTACAGAAATGCCATGGGCATCACGTCCCATCCGCGTGGGACCTCACACATCAACGAGGCCGCACATTGTGGCTACATGGCGGGTTCAAGAGACCCTGAAGCCAAACATGTCGGGGGTGCATGTTTCATTTCCGCCGGATTCTGCCGGCAGAGGCGGCCTCATTTTACTCCCGCCGCATTCCACCAACCTTCTGCCGACTTCCACCCCCTCGCAAGCGATGCCGTTCCTGGAACGCCTCACATCTTCCATCCGTTGCCAATCACTGCGCGCGTTGACCATCACGCTCGCAACGCCCCTGGAGGTCATGCGGCCTGGAGCGGTTGGGCAACGACGGGGCGCGCTGCACCGCCAAGAGCGAGGGGAGGAGAGCCTGGGAGGTCACGCGCCGAGACCAAAGACCCGGCACCGGGACGCGAAGGCGATACCAGCAAGAGCGATGGGAGGCAAAGAAGGGGGGGCGCCCGCGCGAAGGAGCCCTGGGGAGCCGCACGCCGAGACCAAGGCCCTGGACTCGGGGCGCGAAACCGATGCTCGCTTTCCTGCCCGAGCGAGGAGGAGGAGGAGGAGGAGGAGGAGGAGGAGGAGGAGGAGGAGGAGGACGCTATCACTCGCCTGGTTCCCTGTGCAAATGACCACAGCGCTTGTTCGCACGATGCGACTCCGCTCAGAGAGCCCTCTGCCTTCGCCTCGTCCTCCGCCTCTCCCGCTTCCTCCTCGTGCTCCTGCTCCTGCTCGTCCTCCTCCTCCTCCCGCCCTCCTTCTTCCGCGGCACAGCCTGGAGCGACATCGCGGAGCACAGCGCTCGGGGAAGCCAGTCGGAATACTGTGCCGGCAAGCCTGGCAGTCGCGGATGGGCGTGCTGCTACGGCTATCGCCACTACTCTTGGGACAAGGGCGATATCGACGAGGACTGGAAGCTCCGCGAGAGGATGCGCGACTGTTATAGCAACGCGCGCAGAATGGCCCTGGGTGAGCTTCCTGTAGAAGCTGAGCCAGCCTTGTAGCTTGCACGTTGGAGGCGCAGGCATGGCGCTCGAGTGCCAGACTGAAGATCACTCATTGCCCACAAGCTTGCTTCCTCCCTTTGCTGGTTGTGTCTGGGGGTGGCCCCGTACTGGATTGTCTGGCAGACCGTGGTCCTCCGCACCCCATCTGCCGAAAGATGGCTGCATGTTTTGCAAGAAAATCAGCTGGAAACACTGGTTGGCTATATGTCTCATTGTTGCTCGACCGACATGTTCAATACAATCCTAGTCATCCTTCCTCTCCTACTCGCCCTCCTCTTCCTGCTCCCCCTCCTACATCCGCTCCTTTTCCTTATGAATAACTCCTTCCTGTCGCACCCCGAGGCCAGCCGGAAGGGCGGGCCGGGCGTTTCGCCTGATACCTTCTCACCATGTATAATCCTAAAGCTACGATTTCGACATTTTCACAAGTGGAGGGCGGGTGGTTTTCAACATGTGGTTACCGCCTTCGCGCCACGCACATTCGTCTTACAACATTGCACAACGTCTCACGGGTTCAGGACAAGTGGTGTTCAAAATGCAGCTCTCGCCTCAGCGCCGCGCATATTCGTCTTAAGTGTTTGCAGGAGCTTCGCGGATGGAAGGCGGGTCGCTTTCGAGATTTGGTTATCGCCTTAGCGACGCGCGCATTCGTCTTAAATAGCTGCAAGAGTTTCACGGATTGAGCGCGGTTCTTTTTCAACTGTGGCTCTCGCCTCAGTGCCGCGCGCATTCGTCTTCAAAGATTTAAGTGCTTCACATGCTGAGGGCTGCTCCTTTTCAACATGCTCCTCTCGCCTCAGTGCCGCGTACATGCAATACACATTTGCCAAGGTTTCCCGGATCCCCATGGTTAACGCAACAGAAATTGCATATTGGAGCGATTCAAGGATACCCGGGCGAAACAGAAGCGTTGATTCATGTTGTTGAAGTCACAGGAACGGCCTTCTGGCACTATTCAGGATCGTCAAGACCCAACAATAGTGTTGAATTCCCTGCAATAGTGTTCTGGCAAGGTTTAGGATGTTCAAACGCTTGTTCTCCAACGAGGCACTTCCCTCAGTGAAGGTGAATCCTTGCAGGATCCTATGAAGAGGAGCTTGGAGGGAGGGCTTACTGCAATATCGTTAGTGACTCTTGGGTGTATACTGGCCCTCCTCATCGTCCTCGTCCTCGTCCTCGTCCTCCTCCTCCTCCTCCTCGTCGTCCTCCTCCTCGTCCTCCTCCTCCTCCTCCTCCTCCTCCTCCTAGTGCCTGGCGCATGAAGGCGCAAGAGTCGTACCGACGCAGCCCTCTCCTCCCCCCTCCTCCTCTTCCTCCTCCTCCTCCGCCTTTTTTCCTTCTCCTCCTCCTCCTCCTCCTCCTCCTCTTCCTCCTCCTCCTCCTCCTGCTCCCATCCCCCCCCCTCTCCTCCCCCCTCCCCCCAGCTGCTGCTCATCCCTCGTCGACCTCCGCCTCTTCCCCTGCCTCGTCCCCTGCACCTCGGGGTGGAAGCGGTGTCTCTCGAGGGTGCTCGTGCAGACGCGGCTGTGCGCCCCGTCCGCATCGTCGGCCGGATCCCTGGATATGCCAGCCCGCGCGTCCTTGAAGAGCAGGGAGGGGAGGCGGCTTGCGGCGGGAGGGGGGGGGGGGGGAAAGAGGAGGGGGTGGAAGCGGGAGGGGGGCGGAGGGAAACGTACGCAGGAAGGGGAAGGGGGGCGCGCAGGGAGGGGAGAGGAAGGGGGATGCGATGGGGGGAGCCGCGCGAAGGGGGGGGGGGAGGAAAGGAGGCGCGGAAGGGGTGAGGGGAGGGGGGAGAGGACAAGCTAGGTGCGCTCGCGTCATATCTGACATCCTACCCCTCCCTCCCATCCCTTACCATGGCGTAGATCCCCTCGCTACTCGCACATTCGGATGTCGAGCAGGGCAATGCTCCCGAAAGGGTACGCGATGCATTGTAGAACACAGCGTGGCATGGCGTAGAAGAGCACCGCAAAGCATAGTATGGCACAGCACGGCGTGGCGTGGCGTAGTGGAGAATTGCATCACAAAGCTTTGCAACGCAAAGCATGGCATCGCACAGTGGCCCCGAACATAACATTGCATAGCAAGGCGTCGAAGATCAAAGCGTAGCATGGCATAGCACGACGTGGCACTTAAGCACTGCATATCACAGCTTCAGCTGAAGGCATGGCATCGCGCAGCGGAACGCAACCTACCATTGCATTGCATGCCGTGGCATGGCACGGGAAATGACGCCAGCGCTGCAGCGGGAGCACGATTCGGAACGAGCGGAAGCGCGGAAATGAGGCCATCGCTGCAGCGGGAGCACGATTCGGAACGAGCGGAAGCACGGAAATGAGGCCAGCGCTGCAGCGGGAGCACGATTCGGAACGAGCGGGGCCCGAAAATGAGGCCGGCGCCTCAGCGAGAGCAGCATTTTGAAAACAAATGCAGGCGAAAACCCAATTCCAGGGAATCCTGTGTGTAAAAAAACAATACGCAGGGGGGGGGCGAACACTCCCTACCCGTCATCAGGGGAAGGATGAGAGTAGTATTCATATTGAGTAATTGTAGAGGGAGGGGGGAGGAGGAGG